TCACACCCAGACCCTCACCCACATTCACATTCAGACCCTCACCCACACCCAGACCCTCACTCACATCCACATCCATCCATATGAGTTGGTAACCATATGAGTTGGTAGCCAAGTCAGTTGGTAGCCAAGTCAGTTGGTTACCATGTCAGTTGGTAGCCAAGTCAGATGGTTACCATGTCAGCTGGTAGCCAAGTCAGTTGGTTACCATGTCAGTTGGTAGCCAAGTCAGTTGGTAACCGTCTAGCTTGAAGTTCGTTCCACTTGGAGATCAACTGATTTGGTATCATAGACTAATTATCCAAAAACACAATTGTTACCTATGAGACCAATTATATGCAGTTTGTATGGGCTTTCGGTGGGAGATTCATTCGGCAGATTTCTTTCGGCGAAATTCATCATCGGCGAAAAAAATTTTCGGCGAAAGTGGAATTTACCGTCAAATATGACTGAATTTTAATATTGGCTATAACATTCTATAAAAGCACATAAGAATATATATTCATTGCTTGTATCAACTTCTATTCAAAGACATGGCAATGCTAAATAACAAAGCACTATGTTTCATATGTAATGAAGACAAAATAACATATAGTTGTAAAGGATGTTCAGAAGAATTTTGTTTTACGGACTTATCAGAACATCGACAAACATTAACTAATGAATTACATTATATCACCAATCAATATAATGAATTTCAACAAACAATTAATGAACAAAAACAAAATCCACAAAATGATATATTAATAAATCAAATTAATAAATGGGAAAAGAATTCCGTTGAAATAATTCAACAAAAAGCACAAGAGTACAGAGAAATTGTTATTAAATCATCACAAACATGTAATAATGATATTGAAATGAAATTTAAAGACTTGAATGAACAAATCAAACAAATGCAAAAACAAAATGAATTTAATGAAATTAATTTAAATTATTTAAAAAAATATTTAATAGACATTACAGAAGAATTAAATAATCCATTAAAGATTTCTATTAAACAAGATTCACAATCATTTATTAATGAAATTTCAATTATTTCATCAAAAAGTAAGATTTTACTAAATAATTGCTAGAAGAATAATTGTCATTTTCTATGAAATTGTTTTAAACAATTGTAATACAAAAGAAAAATGATGACGAAGAAAATAAAGTTCATTTGTATGTAAAGAAAATGAATGATAAGATATGAGATAAGATTTAAGAAAGATTTTATTCTGTTTGAAATATATTTGATAAGAAATATTTTTCTAAATATTCACATTAAAATTCTTAATTAAATAATAAAATTAAGCAGATTGCCATCTTAATATAGTAGATAGAATAGTAAAAACAAAATCAAAATTGCAAAAAATCCAAATTAATCTTTTCTTTTTTCTTCGTCTTCTTTTTCTTTTCATCAAAATCTTTTTTTTCATCTTTGTCTAGAACCGAAATTTAACAAATGGAAACAAAATGCCATCACTGTGGCTGGTGGAAATGGAGAAGGACAACAATTAAACCAATGCAGTTATCCCTTTGGAATTTTTATTGATAAAAACAAAAATATTTTCATTGCTGATTGTGATAATCATCGTATTGTTGAATGGAAACATAATGCAAAAGAAGGACAAATCATTGCAGGTGGAAATGGACAAGGAGATCGAATGGATCAATTGAATATACCAACAGATGTGATTGTTGATCAAGAAAATCATTCGATCATCATTGCTGAGCAAGAGAATAGACGAGTGATTCAATGGTTGAATCAAAATCAACAAATTCTCATACACAATATTGACTGTTGTTGCTTGGCAATAGATAGAAATGGATTTCTTTATGTTTGTGATAATGAAAAGAATGAAGTGAGACGATGGAAAATGGGAGAATATAACAACGAAGAAATTGTAGTGGCAGGTGGAAATGGACAAGGAAATAAACTCAATCAACTGAATTATCCTACTTTTATGTTTGTTGATGAAGATCAATCTGTTTATGTATCAGATCAAAACAATCATCGTGTGATGAAATGGAGAAAAGATGCAAAAGAAGGAAGAATTGTGGCTGGAGGAAATGGTAAAGGAGAAAATCTCAATCAATTATCTGAACCTGAAGGAGTAATTGTTGATGATTTGGGTCAAATCTATGTGACAGATTTTGACAATGATCGAGTAATGCGTTGGTGTGAAGGAAAAGAAGAAGGCGAAATTGTTGTTGGTGGAAATGGTGAAGGAAATCAACCAAATCAATTGGATGGTCCCATTGGTTTATCTTTTGATGATGAAGGAAATCTTTATGTTGCTGATTTGGGAAATCATCGAATTGAAAAATTTGAAATAATTTAGTGAATGAAATTTTGATTTTTAAACAAAGAAAAGAACTTTTTTGTTAAATAAAAAATTAAAGAAATTTTGAAGAAAGCAAAGAAAAGTATTTTTGATTGTTTTTCTTTAAAATTGAATTTAATTTGTGAATTTGAATTAATAAATGTCATCATTTTCCAATTTTATTTTGTTTGATCTTGAAAAGATTTGTAATAAAAATTGAATCGAAAAATGATTCTTTGAAATGAAAACAGATTAATAAATATTTTCATTGAGATAAAAACAAAAAAACAAAAACTTTGAAAGTAAAACGAGCAAAATATTTGCAATAAAATCGAAAACTAATAAGTTTTGTAAATGATACAATATTCAAATTTGATTTTCATTTCAAAGATTCTTGATGAAATACAAATATTTTCGTCATTTTCTTTTATATTTTTTGATATCTGATGTAAATTTTGTTGTTATTACTTCTTAATCGACCATATTGACATTTCGAAGTGGAATTTCTTGAAAATAACTGAAAAAAGAGTTTGAAATGTTTTAATAAATCACGAAAAATATTTCTTATGAGATTAAAATTAGTTGAAATTGGTATAAATCATTTTTTTCAAATATTTTATCAGATTAATTTGTCAACAATACATTGAACTAGAAGGAGATGTGTTTTGTTTGAAAATATAAAACTATTTTTTAGATATATTATTTACTGTAGAGATAAAACTTTTATATAAAATTTCTTTAATTATTGTTAAATTGAAATATTTCTATGAAGAAATAAAAATAATATTATTTTCAATGATTATTTCTTTATATCAATGTTGATAATTAAATATTATTGTTTAAAAATAAAAGATAATTAAATGAATTAATTAAAGAAGTTCTATATAATAATAAAGAGAATTTGAGCAATATTAATGAAAAGAAATAAAACTTATTTAATTCTAATTAAAATCATTTAAGATTCACTTAATTGTATTAGATTTTATCGGAATTATTTTTTATTATATTTATTCTTCGTAAATTTAACAAAAAAAATTCAATTATTTATACAGAACGAAAACTAAGAGATAAACTAATTATAATTTCGATATTTACATTCTTATCGAATAAATTTATAATTAATAAGTTTATCAAGAAAAAGAGTATTGATTTTATTTGAAAGAATATAATGCAGAATCAATTTATTCATTGTTTCTGTTAAATACTTCAATTGAAAAAAGTATTTATTCGATATTAAATAATATTTTCATCTATAAGACATTAATTAAACAATAACTGGTTTTTCAAAATAAAACTAAATTCAATTAGATTTTAACAAAATTCTTAAAGAAAAAATTTCAGAATATAAAAGATTAATTTAATATCTTGTTTGATATATGATAATTGTTTAAATTTATTTTAAAAAATATGTCACATCAAAACAGAAGTTTTATGAAAAAAATCATTTTTTCAAACATGTCTTATGGTGAGAAATAGTTTTGTTATGTCACATTTTTTGTTTTGATTATGTACAAGATCATTAATTTCAATCACCGTAGATCTTTGCTATTATCATTTTACTAGACCTGTGATACCGAATCTTTTAAGAGAAAAAATTAGACTTCTATTATGAGATGTGTGAATACATTTGGAAATATCTGATTATACACAATACTTTCGTTTTTATGATTAAATCTGATTATATCTTATACTTACTTATTTCGATATAGATTTTGTTTATCAATTAAATTGTTATATTTTTTAAAGATTTTCATTTACTGAAAAAATTCATTTGGTATTTTCAATTTCATCAATTCACAAAACTAAATTATTTCAAACTTTCATAAATGTTATTTTTCTTGATTTTATTTTGTATTTTTTAATTTTGTTGCATTATGAAACATTAAAAATCCATTAGATCAAAAATAAGAAAAGTTTTTTTGTTATTCTCCTCTCTTCTTTACTTAAAATGTTTTGTCATATTTCTTTTTTTAAATCAGATGTATGGTTGGTAAGAAACACACGAAACAGTCACAAGAATTTATTCACCGAAAAAGAAATTCAAATTGAGACATACGAATTAATTCTTATTTTAAATCGAAATAATTATACAAAACATCACAAGTTTAGAAGTTCAAGTGTTTGAAATGGTTTCATTTTAGTAAGTTTGTTCTTTGAAATTATATGAAAACTGAGTTTAGAGAATATCATAGAACAACGATCTTGAGAATGAAGATGATGATATAGCTAAAGAATAGATAGACATACAATCATACTCATCTTTTCATATTACGTTTCCTCATTCATGCTGACGTGTAGCACTCAAGTCAGACTTTCGATGGACTTTGATTTGATTTAACAAGTTGTATAGATTTAATAGTAGAATGGTTTCTCTAATATGTGTACTTACATCTATCGTATCGATGAGATAATAATGGATTTCTTTTTCAACCGATTATATCTTTCGATACTATTTCAATGTGAAAGTGTGTCGTGGTAATGTTTTATCTGGCCGAACAGTGAATGAGAATTTGTTTTAAATATGAGAAGTGTTTTTCCTTGAAATAATATGAACAATTGAGATAGACTACAAATTTATATCAATAGATAGTAATCATATATCGACCTTGATCTAAAGTTTGGATGAAGATTTGGGATTTTGATAAGAATTCAATTCTTTTTATCTAATTGTTACAAAAAAAAACTCGTGTTAAATATTGCGAGTGCATGACTGAAAAACAATCATGATTGGAAAAGGTCGATCTTCTTTGTAAAAATTTATTTTAAAACATTAAATGACTATAAACTGAAATGGTTACAAATGCAGATGGTTAGGATGTGATTATTCTATTACCCCCACACCCACACAACATATGAAGAATATGTAATAGAAACATAAAGATCATTTATATTTTATTATTTAAATTAATCATTATTCCGATACATATTAATATTCGTCCGTAATTAATTTTTATTTTTATTCGTATTATTGATTATTGTTAGTTGTAAAGGTTCTTCAACAGTTTATTGAAAGAAATGCATAGAAGATCTTTCTTTTTCTATTCTTATCTAAAAATATAAATAAATTATGAAATTCAATTCATTTGAAAAACAAAAACAAATTTCTAATATTTCTATTGATTATTTTAGATAAATATAAAGAAGATAACAGTCGAATGAATCGTTTTAGTGATATTGATTGCTCATTTAACCCTCGGTTACTTTTGTGGGGTCCGCATGGATCTACTTTACAGATTTTCGTCTCACACTACACAACTATTTACTATTTCGGGTCATTTATTTTTTATAATCTCTGAGAATTCGTAACTGTACAATATCCTGATAAAAGATCATAAAGAGATCTAAGAGAGAAAAAATACGGATATGAGTCCGTGTGGATCTCACGACTCAAATGATGGTTTATATATGATTTTTCACTTTTTTATAACTACCATCCGTTGCGTATCAATTTATTTTCAAATTAAATAAGTTCTGATTCGTTTGCACGTTTATCTCTCATAATAGTGATTCACATTTTCTTTGTAAATTGTTAAATTTTCGCTATTTTTTCATAAAAACTAGTATGAGTCAACCCTTTTTCTTCACATCGTTCGTTCTTATACTGCCTCTATAAGAAGCGATAAATAAGTCTCTAGAGAGAAGTATTTGGAAATTTATAATATGTAAATAGACATCTTTCGCACAGCAATACCATCGTGTTTTGTAATTTTCATGGGATGGATCTACGCGGGCCCTAAGGCACTGTTGAAGTTATAAAATGAGGACGGTAACCGAGAGTTAAATATAAACATCGTGAGTGGAACTATATTAACTTAGTGATTCGAAAGCTTAATTAACGTCTGGAATGCTACTTTGTTGAAAAGATCAGTTGTTTTTTCTCATACATTCAATTTAGTGGATCTATTTCTATAACTTATAGTGTTCTCTGTGAAACACCTAAGTATAGTGACTATTGAAAAAAGAGAAATCATTGTAAGACATCTCTTTGAACAATTTCTCTCTTAGTTTGAATCCGAGATCAGAGAGCTGTAATTACCTTTTCTATATTATGGAATAAACTATAATTCATCATATCTTTAATACGGCTAAATTTATCAATAGATCATAAATAAGTCATTATTCTTTTCAATTATTTCTTATTAATGATGAATACTAATTGATTGATTCGATCAGACTATGTATTGGCGACCGTAGTCTCCTAATTGCGGGCAAAAATTAAGCCAATTACTGAAAAAAGACCGCTTTT